TATGCTATAGGTTATGCTTGTCTAGGATGTGGTTTTGAGTTTAAGAAGTGTATCATTTGGTTTTGAGCTCCCATTTTCATTCTCTCCCTCTCTGATCTTAATTAATTACTTGAGGACAAGTAAAAGAGTAGTTTGGGGGAGTTGATATGATGCATATTTACATAGTTTTAACATTTCATTTTGTACATAAATCATCATATAGATTTAGGTTTAGGCATCTTTAGGTCCATATTGCATTCATATGTCCTTATTAGGATTGGAGTAGTGCTAATGATGATTTGGAGCCTAGAGAATCACAAAAAGTCCAAAGGAGTGAGAGTAGTGCATTAACAGGCAACTGTAGCATGCTAAATATGGTCGCGACGTCGCCGCAGGCAACCGTAGCAGGATATAGATGGCCGCGACGTTTCCGCAGGCAACCGTAGCAGGATATAGATGGCTGCGACGGTGTTACGACGAATTGGACAGGGAGATTTCGCAGGCTATTTCGCAGGATGTGAAGCCTGCGGCCAAAATGGGTGCATCGCAGGCAAGTGCCGCGGCCAAGAGGAGGTTGCGGCCATGTTACGGATTTTAGCTTAATATAAATATGTATTAGACTTTAAGTGGATGATATCTTCTTTTCTCTCCAAAAACACATTGAAAAGTGGAATCCTTGATTAATATAAGCTTTGTTTCTTGAGTAATTTGAGTCTATCTCTTCTTCTAATCATGATTAGTCTTCTATCTATCATGGGTTTAAGATTAAACATGAAGATCAGTGAGTAGACTCTATTTGAGTTTATGGATTAGGGTGATTAGGGTGATTAAGTGATGATCTAGGGTGATTAGTGTTAGATCCTTCTTGTCCTATACTTATTACTTATTCCCAATGCTAGATTAGACCTAATCCTTCTAAACTAGATCATTAGGCATTTTTTGCCTACAAGGTGTATGATGAAATGCCTGAACCAAAGTAATAATGCTTTTTGCTTGCTTAACCAAGGATACTTCATGTTAGGAAGGCTTAGATGGTTAGTAGACGTGTTCTCAATGATTGCTTGATTGATTTAGACCAATGACCATTTGTGTTTAAAGATTGATAGCAAATGAGCTTTTACCTTTACCAAGGACTAGCTTAGAATTGTGTCTAGACCTATAGGATATGAATGATTGCTTGAAACCTCACCCTAGATAGTAACTTGATCACCCAAAGTCAATACCCTTATCCATATGCTCTTTTATCTCATTGAAACCAAAGCTTAGATATTCTTGTTTGCATATTGCTTGTTACTAGTTACTTATAAAACGAACCCTCATTGATTGCATTTAGATTAAGCAATGTCTTGCATTCTCTTTGTTTAATAGCTCTCATGATTGGATTGACACTCTACTTACCTTACTACATTGATTTTCTCTAAGGCTTAAAAACCCCTATCAACTATACCTTTGTTTCACGATCAGAAGGATGATCTAGAAAGCTGACATCGACATCTTTCCAATGATATCTCGCTGGTTCATTCTGGATCAACGGGAAAATACTGATGAAGTTGACTGCTGGTAGATCCGATCTGCAGAAATCAGTCCCGAAGAAATAATCATAACTCTTAGATAAAAATTCCAAATGACGATTCATTTTCTGATATACATAGATCTATGAATGTAGAACATAACCTAAAAATTTGGCTTCAAAATTCTTGTTATTGATCAATCGTTTATCTCTTCTCTCAAAACGTGTCTGCTGAACCTTAATCTCTCTTTTCAGATGGTGTGATGACTTTTCTTTCGTGGCGGCTATTGGTGGCTGATCCGGCAACATTCCAGAAGGGTTTCGCCACTACAAAGGTATCTATAGCCACCACGAAATCCTTCTTTAAATAAGAAAAATTAAGGTTTTATTTAACCGTACTGAGCCTAACTGGGACGAAATAATTGAACTGGGTTTTGGGTCGTTACAAATATCTTACAGTCTTGTAAACATTCCTTCCAAAATAAGTTAAAACAGAAAGTTACTGATCACAGAAGCCATAGTTCTTAAAGTTGTAAGCAATACATCAACTAAGAAACATGACAGTTTAAAGGTTTTAGAAGAACCATCCTTAATTATGCTTTTAAGTAGTTGCTATTGATTACATAGATTAAGACAACCACCAACAACCTTTTAACCCCTTAATTATTCAAGAAAGTGGAAGGCAATGAAATCAGAGGCAGATGCTGCATGAAGATCAGGTTGGGGTAATGGTTAGGATGATTCTGATGGACACAAAGCGCGTAAGCACGTGATCCTTTGATTTGATATCTAAGAACTGAATCATAATCTCTTCCAATGTCTACTAGTCGATAGTGAGGGTCATCTGCTCTTAGTTCGTATCTCATCAAATTCATTTTAAATCCAACATGGTTAACTCAAAGTGACATGACATGGTAGATACATGATCTCAATACACCAAGAGAAAACATGAGTGACTATCTCCACAATACGACCTGTACTTTTAATTGGCTCTTTGCATGGAATTTGCCTAAACAAAATGTAAGGGGAACAAGAGACATTACCAGCTCATGTATGAGATTCTTTTGTATGTCCTTGACTTTTGTTCTGCAATTGGGTAAACCACAATCGAGGAACTATATGAAGAGACTGAAATGATAAAGACTTTTTAACTGTCTAATCAACTTTACTTTCATATTGTTGAAATATGCCTTGAATCTGCTTCGATCGATCCAGGAGTCATGGATCGGTCGATCTGGCCGGACACGTATCGATCGATACAAGAGCCTTTGTATCGATCGATACAAGAGCCTTTGTATCGATCGATATTGTGTCAAATCTGAGAAAATATAGAAAATTTCATTAAACGTTTTCTTATATACCTTTAGGGTTTTATCCTATTCTGTAACACGAGTTGTACTCTGAAAAACTAGCTTCAACTAATAAAGTACTCATTTTGCCCGTGGATCAAACCACGCTAAATCTCTGTGTCATTTTTTATTGTTTATCAATATGTTAATCTGTATCTTCTCACATCTATCACAACAAGGTTGGTATCAGAGCCCAAGGTTCCGTGGTCCTTGGTTTGAGGGGAGGATTGTCATAATAAATAAAAAGGCAATCCAAGTCCCACATCGGATATTAGACAGAATAAAGTCTAATATATATAGCTGGTCCAATCTCACTTAATATGAGGCCTTTTGGGAGTAACGACCCAAGAACAAATCCGTGAGGGCTTAGGCCCAAAGCGGACAATTTCATACTAAGCGAGGGATTGGACATCTAGTGACGGACGTTTGGCTCTAATTGAACGTCTGGCCTCCAGCACGGACATTCGATCTGGTTCTAGTAGAACATCTGGCCCAGGAGTGCATCCGGTCCGTCACAACACATATAGCTTTCATGCCATCACTATAATTAATATACGCTTGGTCTTTCCATTAGCTTTACTATAATCCGACAGCTTCCAAAAACAAGATACTTACTTAATACTTGAATAAGAGCTACTAATTTTCTTATCAAGTTAAACTTAATTATTTAAAAAGCACAAACTATAGAAAAATGAAAGATAATGAGACAATTATATAGATTAATTTGATAAAAGCTTATCTTAATTAGACAAATAATATGATAAAATGAAAAAGTGAGTGGAGATGGAAGAAGATGTGACCTTTTACTTAGTGGTATCGATTTGATTCCAAGAGATTTAAACTGTACCATTAACATATATACTGGATTGATCAAAACGTTCACATATTATCTAACCGTAAACTACATACATGGTTTACCTTTTCAACACCTTACTAATACAACAAAAGCCTTCTGGCTATATTTAAATCAAAACAAAATAAAATGAACATGTTAATCAAAATCCTAGCTAGATAAGGAAAAAATTGATGCTACCTTCCGATCAAGAACGAGTTTTGAAAGTGTTTTCCATTTCTTCTCCAAGACTACGCAGCTCCTGAAAATTAAGTTCGTCCACACACACTCACCTAGCCTCTGCCTATATTAACCAAAAATTATATTTAGTAATTTTGGTTTTTTCAGTTTAAAGAGAGATGATGAGAGAAGAGAAAGAAACAAATACTTAATCTGAGGTCGGAGATTTCTACTTGTATCCAACAGTTTTCCTCTCGGTTTGTTGCATTCTCTACAACAACAAATGATCACCAATTTTCACCAAACAGAAAAACACATATCAAGAACAAGAATAAGGTTCTAAGAAGATGAAAAAAACTCATAGTTAGCGCTCCAGACATCAACACCAGAAGCTGTTTGGTACGGATCTATAATCTCCTTTGTTCTATAACTCAACAATACCACACAAAAGGTAGTTAAGTAGAAGCAAACAAAAAAAGCAAGTAAAATATTAACTTGAGAATCTATACGTGGTGTTAGAGCTGATAAATTCATGAAGCTTGTTGGAACTAGAGAATGAGCTCGTGAGCTTTCTTGAACGAACCATTTCTTATTTTCGAATATGTTACTTGTCTGTTGGTCTAGTTCTCTATCCTTTTGATATGAATCTTCCCTATTGCCATTGTTCTGGTTCTGTTTAGTTTTTGGTATTTTCTTGTAGAGGTGAGGACAAAAGATATAATAAGAAGAAATAAGTGAAAGAGAAAAGAGAGAGTTGAAGAATTAAAGGACCCACTTGAGATACTACAAATACAAGGAGTTGCAGAATCCATGAAAAGTAAGATCTGTAGTTTATGAAAACAAAGTAGTGAACTTTCCTTTTTGGTAAAGTAGAATGGGCATATGATGGTATCTTAATTACAAGACAACTTATATCAATTGTCAATAGGTGGAAGAGAGGACGCAAGCTATGAACTGGTTTGGTTTGCTTTCCGTTTATTTATTAACGGAGCTCTGTTAAGTCTCAAAAAAAAAAAAAAAAAGTCAACGTTGTTTTTGTTTACAGACACGATGACATATCTAACGGCGTTTGCAAATGTCAAAGCTGTGCGTGTGGATTGGTTGGCCCACAGATAACAGGTGAATCAACCAAAAAACAAGAACACTCATACTTCGGTGAAACACAACAACCTCGGTTGTAATCTTTTAATTTCATGGCTAAAAAGGTAAAAAAAAAACTGGGTCAACTATGCTTGTTGCAGAACTAAACAGGTAATAATAAAGGATCTACAAAACATGTTCCTGTGGTTAAGGTAACATTACACAAGACTACAAGAGAGAGACTATCATTCAACTTCTTCACAAGCCAATACACAAAGAACACTCACTCTCGTTCTGGTCTCAGTTGCCTTTCCCTATTTTCTTCAAGTACTCTTTCATGCGACTTTGGTTTGTCTCGAATATAAAAGGCATTCCCCGTATCTAGCCCAACAATCAAGTTCATTAGTTAAGGTCATAGGAGTGTGAGTGATTGTTATTTAATGTAACGATCAAAAGGTGAAATAGAGGATCAAACCTCAAGCAAACAATCAGATTTGAGGATTAAACTCTGTCCAGGGTCTACTTCCTTCTCATTCACTGAGATTGCATACTTCCCCAGGTTTTTCATATGAAACGACCCATCATCACCCAACCGTATGATCGCCTGCACACACACACACACAAACACAAAGTTGTTAATTTTCAGTGTTTTTCCTTATCATACAGTGTAACCTAACTTAAAACAGAAGCATCTACTATGGTGACCAACCTGGCGTCGAGATACTTTGCTGCCACGCTTTTCTCTTCCCAAATCAATGTCTACCGAGAGATCTTCTGTTGATCTACCCACCAAGACCTGTGCCACGAAGACATGATGTAATAATAATTAAGAAGCATAAATCATACAATGACAATACTTGAAAGATTATCAAATGAATAGGGATCATAATACCTCAGGTTTCTTGATGTAGTGTTTTGAATATCTACCATATAAAACAGCGAATGCACCACGAGAAGCAATGGCTCTTTGCATATATGAATATGCAGCCTGTTCAAGTCTCATAATTGTTCTTTTCATCTCTTGGCTCTGATACTTGGAGACTGCAAGTGAAAATGTTTAAAAGAATTACAAATTAGCTTTACCCTTTTTATAAGGTCTTTTGCATCACCAATAGAAAACACTCCCTAGTAAAAGCTCTTTTCCCAAAAAATGTAGATAAGAGTAAAGTAACACGAGTTCAACTGAATGAGAAGGGATGCTCGATTACCTTCGAGATCAAAATTATCTTGGTCATCAGGATCCAAGTCCATGTCAAGTATCTGAAATAAAAAGAGCGTAATTGTTTAGACGTACATGAATCATAAAGCCATAAAGCTCAAGAATAAAGGGTGAAAGTCGAGAGTTACCATAGCCTCAATGTCAGAATAATTCGGCAAGTCCTCGTCACTCTCAATAACCTGCTCGTCTACTTCTGTATGACTGATCTCCAGCTCACGTTCTAAAATCTCTATCAAGTCAACATCATCATCTTCTGCTTGCGGCACTTCACTTATAGGTAATACACCTTTTTCCTCTTTACAGTTTCCACTATCCTTCTCGGAATAGCTTCCATGTTCGTCAAATCCGACGATACGTTTTCCACCGGCCATCTCTTTGTTTCCATCTTTTGCACCATCAGAAAGAAGAGGGTTTGAGCATGCCTGTGCAGAACCAGAAGAACCAGCAGGACCAACCTTATTATGTGACTCAGGACTTGTCAATGCCCTGAATTTGGTAGATTGACTTGGTTGACCTGTGTCTGGCTTTCCTTGAGAAGACCCTTGCAAACGTCCTGGTATCTTCTTTTGTGTATGTCCCTCACTTCTTTCCCTAGTGGCAGAGAGATCTCTAACAGATGAAGTTATGGGATTGCTTGTATCTTTAAAGTTCCGCCGGGCTAATGAATAAACTGACATTGGATGGCAGGTGCTGGACAGAAGAATGTCATCATTACACGGAATATCAGGATCCTCTTGGTTCAATAAACAGCAGATAACACCATTAACAATCTCAGGATGAGGATCAATAGCAGAAAAGTCAGACACAGGTTTGCACTCCGTTGACCTCACTGCACTTGTCCCATATATCTCAGGGATCACATGGCCATTCGGAACCGCATCTACGGGATGAGCTTGTTCGCTGGAAGGATCTTGTTCAGTGGTAATAGGCAAAACCCCGCTATTTTTCACGTTTGTCGGGTTCACCAACAGTGAGCTTAGACCATCATAATACGTCTTGTCAACTTCTTTGCCATCTACTTCCATGAACGGCTCCTCGTCTTCGAAAAGAGAATTTGAAAGCTGTGCCAGGAAACAATCAGTGCTAGCCATTGTGGTTTTAGGCTCATGAGCAGAAATCTCTAGTTTCTGTTTGGAATTTTGATGAACCGCGTCACATCCGGAAGGAGCTGCATGTTCACTGAATGCGAGATTTTCTCCTCCTACGTAGGAGATGTTTCCCTGTAAATTATCTTCTGACACAACATGATTTGTCACGCAACCGCCATCAGCCAAGATATCTGGGAACGCATTGTGGATGATGTCCATGTGAGAGTCTTCAAGACCGAGATGCGCTGCATCACCATTATCCATGAAATGGCTGTCATTTGATGGAACGAGAAAACCTAGATCCAAGGAATTGAATGACTCGGTGCGAAATTTCTTCCGTAAGGAATGGTAAGTACTTCTGAGCTGTTCAGCCCTCCTCTTCTTAGATGAACTTTTGTTTTCTTTTGATCCAGTTCTAGTAAACTTTGTAGGAAAATTAGGGTTAGTACGTTCAAGTTCAGCCATCCGAAGAGCTGCCTCTGCAGAAACTACTGGATCATATAGGAGTGCATGCCATCGATCTTGCAGTTCTCTGATAGAAAATCTTCTAGAGAACTGCACAGCGCCTTTAGCAAGCGATTCTAGAGATGCACCAGCCTGTAAAATCAATTAAGGAGATCAATTCATTTCATTGCTAGAAGGCCAAACAAGCTAAATGGAGAGACACGCAATATCTCCATTCTCCAGAAGCACTACACTAGTAGACAGACTTTTTAGCTAACCTAGATTGATATGCAAAATGCCAAGTAAGAGACATGGAACATAATTGTTTGTAATGTGATGATTAGTCAGCCATTATTAATATGCATCTCCTCATAAAATAGCTCTGAACAGAAATCCAATTACCTTCATGGAAAATATTTCGTCAATCCCCTAACAAAAAATAATTATGTTGCTAACATAGTGGTACAACTTTGTCTAGAGCAACAATTCTAGCTTGCCTCATCACGATAATATATATTGTTTAGCCCAATCTATTTAGCCATACTCTTTCACACTAGACGGTATAACACTGGGACAATATATTAACTGGATCTAAAGTCCAAACAACTAACATGATAATTTTACCATTTCGTGATGATATCTCCTACCTATTCTATCACCTAAAATTCACGTTATCTCAAGTCACACAAATGAAGGAATAAGAAAAATCAGATGCACCTACTAAGAAGTAACCAAAGAACCAACTGGAGAGTTAAAACTGATAACCAGTGCATTCAGACAAACTCTGTTTAACACTCTGTTGAGATACGTGGCTCAATCAAACATCAGGGACATCAAAATGTGAGTCCATTTCCAGTAAGAAAAGAATGGCAACAGAGGTGAAGGACAAGAGAGTTAACCTCTATGGCGTTCTTTAGAAGCAGGTCGTCCTCGGGTATCCAGGAAACTACCTGAGCAAGAGCTCCCATGTTTGACCTTGTCTTCTCTCAGATAAGTTTCATGTAAGAGTGGTCTACGCAGCTCACAATATCTAATTACAAAAAAAAAAAAAAAAATATATATATATATATATACATAAAAATGGGGGAATTCTAAGCATAAACTAGACAATTAAAATGATGAATGAAGAGTAATAAGGATATTAGAATACCTTGGACGATGATGAGCCCAGGACGATGTTTTGTGAAGCTCAGGAACAAGAAGAGTGAGGTTCAACAGCCTAGAAACAGTAAGCATGTCACAAAGCTGAAACAACAACCGTCAGGATTTGGTTGGGAAAGATGGAAAGAGCAATTAAGGAAGTGGCGAACCTGTGTTGGGAGTTGAATCAGTGCTCCATTAGAGGATACAAGTAAAATTCGATTGATTTTAACATATACTGAAAGGAGAAAGAAAGAATCTCGTCAAACTCTAAAGAGCCCAACAGCTCGATTCTCACAACAAATTGATGGTTACAAAATCAATGTATAAAGGAGATTAATTAGAATCCTAATTTACGAGAAAACCCAACAGGAAAGGAACTGACTTTGGGGAGGAGGAGGGAGAGGCGGTGGCAAAATACTGGCTCGGCGACTAGAGCGGCGATTCTAAATTTGTGAAACCCTAATTTTTGTTCCGTCTCCGTCGTCAACAAGATAGTAACAATTTATGATATGGAACCGCTAAAACGACAGCGTTTCGTTCATTATTTATCAGACTGTAATTGCCTTTGCATTTTTGAAATTGGTTTGATTTTGAATGATAGCTGCCATTGCGGTTAGAACTGTTAGTTTGGTTCGGTTGATTTTCAAATCTTTTTAGTAGTACTAGGTTGAACCGATGGTTTCTATTTCTGGCTACATTCCAAATTGGGAGAATTTCAATTATACCACTTTGGTGGTACCATTTTTCATGTTTACCATCAACAAAGGAACATTTTCAAAAATACACATTTTATTAAAGGATAAAATATTCTTATATCCTTGTTTTTTATTTATATACATCAAATAAATATTAAATAAAATATTAACCCTAAACCCTAAAACATCAATTCTAAACTCTAGGCCCTAAAAGTAAACCCTAAACCCTAAAAATCAACCCTAAACCCTAAGATATCAATTCTAAACCTTAAACCCTAAACTCTAAACCCTAAAAAGTAAACCCTAAACCCTAAAAAATCAACACTAAACCCTAAACTATCAATCCTAAACCCAAAACCCTAAACCTTAAATTCTAATAGTATTTTGACTATTAAAATTTTAATGGTAAAGTTGGTTAGTGTAAAGTTAAAAAGTGGTATCTTGAAAGTGTTATTTCTGGCAATTTCCCTTCCAAATTAGTTGCACTAAAACTAACATAATCTTGACTAAATGTAATTAACTTCAGTTAAATCTTGTTATTTTCATATGATATCCGTTCGATCGGAAATAAATGTTGATGTGATTATGTTAAACAGACTCTTCATAAATTCATTGAATGTGCAACTCAAAAACTAAGTTTTGAAATGAAACCGTACTAGATTCTTATCAGCGCGGTTGCACGGAGTTACTTATATTTATATTTATAATTTATATTTATAATTTATATTCTTAAACTAAAATTTTATTAACAAGTGGTATTTTTTTTGTTTGCTTCCGGTTCGGTTGTGTATTTTAGTTTCAGTTTAAGGAGACTAACAATTCATGTATTTATGAACTTGAGTTTGGTTTGAGTTTTTTATATTTTGGTTTGTTTCAATTAATTTTACAGCTATAATTTATAAACAGTAACATTGGACAGATTATTTTTAATTACAATTCTAAATTTATACTTATAATTAAGAATATCCAATGTTTGTTATGTATTAAGTATAGTAATCTTAATTTTTGTGATATTATTAGTAGGAAATTTATTTTTCTTAGATTACATTTAAAATGTACAAGTATTACATTTTTATATTTTGATTAAATTTGGGTTTAGTCTGGAGAATAAAATTCTGAAATTTTGAAACCACAAATAAATTTACACTTCAAAAAAACATAAAATGTGTTTTAGTAAAATACACAAAGCCATCAAAATTATACAATCTCCAGTATATTACAGTACTATTTAATATTTAATATTTAATATTTAATATTTCATTTGTTCAATTTTGTAAGTCTTTTACGTGACCATATGTGAAGCCAAGTTATACAATCTATCATGATGCTGCTTCCTGTTACAGGCAAGTAATGTTAAAACCATTTTATTAGTAATAGCACCGTAAATAAAATATACATTAAGTATCCAAAAGATTCAACATAAAATTAAAATATTCAAACCCTAGAAATTGATATATAAAAATCCAACCAATCAAAAATTTCTCAGACTTCATAACATAGTTTCTCAAAACCTATTCATTTTTAATCTTCTTAAGCTTCTTCTGCATATATATGTTCGTAGCTGAATCAACCTTATCCCGGCAAATCCCCCTATACATTAAAAGAAAAGTCATTTTAGTGATTTCTACTTACGTGGCACTCATAGAAGCCACTCTTGGATTAATTCTCTTAATTCTATTGGTTCTTTTTTGCTAATTTCTTTTTGATTTATTTTAAAATCAGCAGGGAAAAATTAACATAGAACCACTTAATCTAGGCTTCCAAACACTCTCAACGATATATATATATATATATATATGTAACTCTTTAGAACATTATTATAAATTAAATATACTAACTCCTTAGAACATTAGTATATATATATATATTTAAATTTAGTATAAAATATAATTTTGGTTTTCAACCTGCGATAATATATTTTCATAAATCTAAACTTTATGTGATTTCTTATCCTGGTAAGAAAAACACACACATGCATTTTATTTTATACTAAAATATGTTAAAAATTAGTAATAATTTTTTATCCTTTATATAATTATTGTTAGAAAAACATACATACATATTATACTAAATATGTTAAAAATTCACTAAATACAACATAAAGGCTATTTCAGAATTTAAGTATTACTAAATAATATATGTTTACTAATAAATTACCACACTCATATTTAAAATATTTAGATACATTATCGCAGGTCGCAAACAGAGAATATATTTTTCTAAAATACATAACAAATTTTAAAAATACTACATAAAAGCTATTTAAGAATTGAAGGATCCCTCTATATATTCAAAGAGAAGTACATTTGCCATGTGGCACTCACACAGCGCTTCTTAGAAGAATTCTAGCGATTCTATTGATTGATTTTTTAGAATTTATTTTTTGATTTATTTTTACCATCGACACTACTAAAAAGGACATCCATCTAAATACTTACCTTTTGTGTTTTCTCGATTCAAAGAAAATCTTTTTCCGATCCTTTCTCTGTTTAATTCATTAAATACCCATTAAATATTTTAGATGTCAGAGAAACAAAATTAATTGACAAGATATTTTCACTCTTAAAATCATGCATTTAAAACAAAATTAATTGATAAGATATTTTCTCTCCTAAAATCATGCATTTAAAACTTAAACCAAAATTCTGGTGCAATCTATTCACGAGATGTTCTCCTTTAGCTTTATCAACAAGATATTCCAAAAATAATATTACCTTAAAAGTATAAGATTTATTGAGAATTTATTAGAGAATATGTTACTTCTTAGCTTATCATGCAAGCTAAATCATTGAGAAACNACGAGATGTTCTCCTTTAGCTTTATCAACAAGATATTCCAAAAATAATATTACCTTAAAAGTATAAGATTTATTGAGAATTTATTAGAGAATATGTTACTTCTTAGCTTATCATGCAAGCTAAATCATTGAGAAACGTCCATCAATTTACTATAAATAAGACATTCACAGTAGAAGAAATGAAATCATTGAACTTTGTAGTCTGAACTTTTTATGTTAATAATGTTCTAAACTTTTTTTTCTTCTTATTTTAGAACATTAAGCTTTAATATTTCATGAGAGCTGATTTTTCTTTTGTTTTATATGCAGATATCCTATTATGACGATTTCTCCACTGAAGCTATATATGATTTGATTGTACACCTCTTTGATATATCATTTCGATAACATCTTTGTTCCTCAATTTGGTAAAAAAAATTCTCTATTTGATAACATCTCTCAGCTATATCATTTAAATAGCATCTTTTTGTGCTGCCAATACTTTTTTTTTTGATTAGTAGATTTATATTATTGTTAAGAATTATAAGCATATATACATATATATTTCTTTTGTTTGCTGATTGTGATTTTGTTTTATGATCTTTTTAATTAAAATTGATAATTTTTTTTTTGGTTTGCAATTATATGATCTTTTTAATTAAAATTAAATGTATATAGTAATATTTATTAATCAAAAAGTTATATCAACTACTTTTTATATTTATTATTTCCTTATTATATATCATTTAATATTTAAATATCTATAGTTTAAATGTAATTTACCTTAATGTTTTTAGTTGATTAATGACCTACCTTATTTTGAACACATATTACTTGTGCAACTTCAATTTACCTTAATGTTTCTAATTTGTTAATCGTCTTTATAAACTTATTTTGAACACATATTACTTTTGCAACTTCAAATCATATTTATTACATTTTTTAATGCAATTTACCTTAATGTTTCTAATTTGTTAATTCGTTTTAAAAAACTTACCTTATTTTGAATATGATTTAATTGCACAAGTTTATAACATATTAATTTTATATCATTTAATGACAATATAACTTTAATATCTTTCTTTGAACTGTTTCATTATTTATTATGAAATTATATTCCTAAACATCATTTGTTATGAAAATATCTCCCTAATAACATAAGAAAAAAGTAATTTACCTTAATGTTTCTAATTTGTGCAACTTCAATTTACCTTAATGTTTCTAATTTGTTAATCGTCTTTATAAACTTATTTTGAACACATATTACTTGTGCAACTTCAAATCATATTTATTACATTGTTTTTATGCAATTTACCTTAATGTTTCTAATTTGTTAATTCGTTTTAAAAAACTTACCTTATTTTGAATATGATTTAATTGCACAAGTTTATAACATATTAATTTTAAATCATTTAATGACAATATAACTTTAATATCTTTCTTTGAACTGTTTCATTATTTATTATGAAATTATATTCCTAAACATCATTTGTTATGAAAAAATCTCCCTAATAACATAAGAAAAAGGAAGGTAGAGTATATATAAAGGAGACACCTAAGGGATGTCAATACTAACTTATTAGTCTATTTTTATTCGATAAAAAAATTTAAATTTATAAATTCTTACATTTGTTTGTTTTTTCTATTAACAGATAAATAAAACAGACGAAAGACCGGTTGTAGTTAACTACAAATCATTTATCAGTTTGTTTCAATAGTGATATGCAAATTTAATACTATTTTTGTCTCAATAAAATTTAGAAATCTATTAAATTATTTTATATCGTACAGTTGCTAACAAAATTTGACAATTTTTTGCAGGTTTCTATTAGATATTTTTAATTCATAACTGTTCTTCTTATTTTATATTACTTATTTAATTCACAAGATTGATTAGTAATAATTAAGAATGATTTATGTTAACGCATTAAATTCAGAACATCTATATAGCAATAAAAAGAATGTGATAAATAATACGAATATATTATT